TCTACTGTGTCATGATTTCTCATAAAGTCACTATCTTCCAATTGCTCTATTCTAATTTTTAAGGAAGTATTTTCTTCAGTAATCTTTTGGACTTCCTTTTCCATTTGGCCAATTTTTCTTTTTAGGGCATTTTCTCCTCATTGGCTTTTTGGACCTCTTTTGCCATTTGGGTTAGGCTATTTTTTAAGGTGTTATTTTCTTCAGTATTTTTTTTGGTCTCCTTTAGCAAGCTGTTGACTTGTTTTTCATGATTTTCTTGCATCGCTCTCAGTTTTTCCTCTACTTCCCTTATTTGCTTCTCAAGATCCCTTTTGAGCTCTTCCAAGGCCTGGGACTGACTTATATTTTTCTTGGAGGCTTTGGATGTAGGAGCTTTGACTTTGTTGTCTTCTTCTGGTTGTGTATTTTGATCTTCTTTTTCACCAAAGTAAGATAATATAGTCTGACTCTTTTTGCACTACTTGCTCATGATCCCAGCCAATTACTTGAGTTTTAAACTGTTTGTTAATGTACAACTCTGCTTCCAATGTGGAGAATGTCCTGTCCCAAGCTTCGGGGGAGGGGGGTTTGTACAGCTGTTTTCAGAGATACTTGTAGGGACCTGTAAATTTTCAGTTCTTCCAAGGTGGTATGATAAGGGGCAAGGTGATATTGTAAGCTCCTTGAGGACAGAGACAGTCTTTCTTTTTATTAATTGTTTGTTCAGTGCTTAGCACGGTGCCTGGCACATAGTATGTACTTAATAAATGTTTATTGGATTGCATTGCATTTATCAGAGTTCTTATATTTTTCCAAGTGTGTTCTTCTTTACATTCATGTGCCACAAAAAAGGGTGAAGGGCACTGTTTCAAGGAAACCTAGGAGAACTTGTGTGAACTGATGCAGAGTGAAGTGAGCAGACCCTCAGACTCTTACTACTTATGTGATCCTTGGTGAGTAACCAAACCTCTTCCAGCCCATGTCCTCATCTGTAAAATGGGGATAATCGTATCTACCTCTCAACTCTTAAACTTCTGTAGAAATGTCAAGCATTTAAAACTCCAGATTTTTTTTCCTGATAAACTTCCATCAAGGCCCATCTTCCCTGCCTTGAACTAGAGTTGATGATTTGTTGAACCTACGTAGAGGACTCGAATGTATGCTCAGGTCTCTTCTTCCCTATAAGACTGAACTCCTAAAAGACCAGGTCTTGTTAATTTGAGTATCCTCCGTGGTGCTCAAGGCCTCAATTCTGCATGCATGCTCCATAAATATTTGGTGAATGAATGATCCCGTTAGGCTCACAGCAGGTCAGAGAAAAATGGAAGCATATATATTGTAGTCATTTTTAAATTGTCTATGCCAGGCTTGCATCTCTATACTAGACTCTGAGGTAGCCAGGAAAAAATGCCTTTTCTCCAAACTCTTCTCTCACTATCCCTGCCAAAGTGCCTGGAGCTCCCAAATTCCTTAGGGTTCAATTGCACAAGCATGTACTGAGTTGTGATAACTACTTAAGCCACGATCCCCGCAGTGACCGCTTTGAAACTAATGCATTTGCCACATCAGCCAATCACCTAGTAGGATTTAACGAAGGGGGCAGATTTATTGGGGAAGGTAAGGAGCAGGAGAAATTCTACAGCTGGGTCTGTGTACAGGGTGGGAGCCAAAGTGGAAGGATGGGGGCAGCTACTGTGAAGGATGAAGGCACCATGTCCCTGAGTTTAAGTTGGGACATAACTCAAAATGTGTCGAGGCCAAGTAAGGGCCGATGGCTGGCTGATTGTCAGGTGGTGGGGAAGGGAAGGGCTGCTCATTATACCACATATTCCTTGTTCTTAATGGGATTTAATAAACATTTGTTGAATTGAATTGAACTAAATATGGAACATTGTCTTGGGGCCAGAGGACACAGTGGTTCCCTCTGCAGGCAGAGGGCTTGTACCCAGATGGGGCAAGTATTGGCAGGGGCTTCCACAGCCACATCCCTTCTCTGTCTGTTGCTGACTTTTCCATCGCCTCCTGTCTGTCACCTCAGATACCTCAGACAGGGCCATACATCTTCCTCTGGAACAGCTCATTTATTTATGTTGATAATTCAGGAGCCTGTTTCCCTTGTCTTTAATTCCTTCGGTCTCCGAAGCTGCTGTTTTTGCATTAACCTCTGCATGCTCCCCAATGCTATGTGAGCTGGCAGCAGTCAGCCCATAGTGATGGACGGGTGCTGGGGGGGGAGACTGCCAGGAGGGGAGGGGTTTATCAATCTCGACATGTACCTGCTGCAAGGCCCCATGCACAGAAGGCTGCCTGAAATCCATCTCCCTGCCAGGAGCACCAGGTTGACTGTCACTGTGGATTAGTGAAGGGTAGGAAGAGAGAAAGCTATGGATGGGATTGATGTCACTTACTTAAGGAGGAAAGGCTTATATCTAGTAAGGCATTTCCCGCCCTGTCCCCAGCTGCTTCTCTGAAGCCACTAACCCTTTGTCCCTGGAACCATGGAGCTAAGTGGCTAGTTTCACGGACTGCCATGCGAGGTCTGCCAGCCTGAGGAAGCAGCCATCACCTATCCCTGCATTGTTTCTGTTTCTTCATACAATTATAGATCTGTAGAATTCCAGAGTTTGAAGAGACCTTTGAGGTCCTCCAGTATAAACTTCATTTTACAGATGGAGAAACTGAGGACCAAGAAAATTAAGCAATTTGCCTAAGGTCACATGGCTAGCAAGCAAGAGAACAGAACTGAGCTCAAGGTCTCACACGCCAACTGCAGAGCCCTTTCCATGGACACTTCCCCCAAATCTCTTCTTTCTGTGCCAGAGTTAGCTGCCCTTCCCCATAACACTAAAAAGAAAGATGGTATAAACATCGCATCTCGTTTGAATCAATGTGTTTGTTCTTGCTCCCAATTTCTACTGAAGGCAACAGTCACCAGGTTTGCAATCTGACCACAAGGCTTCCTCATTTCTTCCTCTTCCAGCAGCCCCCCATGTTGCATCAATTACTAAATCATGTGGACCCTACTTCCCCAATCTCTGTCACCCATCCCTTTTCTCCATTCACACAGCCAGCACCCTGGTTTAGGCCCTCATCACTTCCTGTCTAGGTGATTGTAAAAGCCTCCTACTTGGGCTCCCTACTTCCAATCTTTTCCATCTCTCTGATTCATTCTTCACACAGACGCCAAATTAATCTTCCTAAAGAACAAGAAGCAACCATGTCATTTACCTGATTAAAAAAAACCTTCAATGGCTCTCTATTACTTCAGAGATAAAATATTAACTCCTTAGCTTGGCTTTTAAGGCACCCAACTAACTTATCAGTCTCATTTCATACCACTTCCCTTCATAACTCTAGTCCAGGCCATATGGACTCTGGACCATTCTCCAAACACAATAGTCCTCCTACCTCTGGGCATTTACACAAGCTGGTCCCCATAACTAAAGTGCATTCCTTCAACCCTTGCCCTTGAACACTTGTCTTTCAAGGCTCAGCTCATGGGCCACCTCTTCCATAAAGCCTCCCCTGATCCCCACACTCCAGTAAGTGCTCTCTATACCCTCCCTCCCTTTCTTTCTCCCTTCCTCTCTCTCTCTTTCTCTCTTTTCCCTCCCTCCTTCCCTCTCTCTCTTCTCCCCTCCCTCTCTTTCTTCCTCATTCTCTCTCTCTCACTCTCTCTCTCTCACTCTCTCTCTCTCCTTTCCTCCCTCTCCCTTCTTCTCTCTTTTCTCTCCATTTCTCTTTCCCTTCCTCTCTCCCTCCCTCTCTTTCTGTCTCTCCCCTCCCTTTCTCCTCCTTTCTCTCCATCTGTCCTCTTTCTCCCTTCCTCTTCTTCCTCTCTCTCTCCCTTCTTCTCCCTCTCTCCCCGACTCTTGTCTATGTGCATATGTGCATAATGCACATATTTGTAATACATACATATATGTACACACACATATATACATATCTATATATATACAACACAAATACTTATATATACACATATATGCATCTGGATATAGAATGGTTGCATGAGACTGACCTACACACACACACACACACACACACACACACACACACACACAACACACACAAAATATCATTGTTTCAGGACGTCATCAGCGTACAATATGAAAAAAAGATGGGCAATCCTGTATTGGAAGTGAGGGATAACAAACGGACAGACTCCATGGTTATCTATGAAATGTCAAGAGAATATGAGAAATTGTCCTCAGTACATTGGGTGGAGCCCCCAAAATGGATTGATGAGAAAGCCTGGACAGCAGCCACACCGAATGGGCATACATGGGTGGATTGTCATCTGTGTGGCACCTGCATCTCTGAGATCACAGATCCAATGGTCCAATAGTCTATTTATTGTTCCAGGACTAGGGCTTCAGCTCCTCCCCTATAGTTTCCTTAGCCCAAGGTGATCTAGCTTCCCCTAGGGCTAGCTTCTTCCTTACTTAGCTACCACCAAGGATCCCTTCCCCAAGGTTCATTTACATACCAGAAAAACCTCCAGGTGCCTAGATCTGATGTCCCTTCATTTACAAGAGACAGTAGTCAGCTTATTCACTGATATGTAGCCCTAGTAAATGTCTCTCAGGAAGAACAATGGTCTCAGGGGAAGGATTAAAACAGCCTGTCTCCAACTCCAGTGCCCTCTGATGTTTTCAGGAGACCCTGTGATCCCTGCCACTGTCCCATCCAGGGGTCAACAGCAGTCAAAAATAAAGACACCGAGTGCATTCTTGACACCCCCTCTCCCTTTCTCCCACCCCCTCACTGGCACTAGGCTGGTCAGTCTCTGGGGCTGTCTGCTTCCCACACCTAGGTCCTCAGGGGAGAAAAGGCAGCTGTTAGAAACCCATATGCTGAATAGCAAGTGAGCTTATTTATTACGTGAGGCCCAGCTCCCTTTTCATTTTGCTGCCTGAGGAGCTGTGGTCATTGAGACCACCAGCCCATCCATGGGTATGGTTCTGGCTTGTGCCCCCTGGAGGATTCCAGAATGAAAAGTTCCAGTAGTCATGTGGGGAAGTAAATTTTATTTCCAGGACAGAGCTGCGGATCTTTTCAGACTGTATCTTGATTGGTTCAACCCAGTTTTAGGCCAGAGAAGGCAAGCTGGTATACGTAGTTAGGCAGCAGCACAGCGGATAGAGCACTGGACCTGGAGTTAGGAAGAATTGAGCTGAAATACTAGCTGTGTGATCTTGGACAAGTCACTTAATCTCTGTCTGTCTCTCTTTTTTTTTAATCTGCAAAATGGGGCTAATAATAGACTTATCTCATAGGGTTGTTTTAAGGTGATAACAATAACTAGCACTAACATACTGCTTACTATGTGCTAGGCACTGTGCTGATCACTCTACAAATATTATTTCATTTGATCACACAACATAACCCACGTTGCACAAGGTCAGTGAATTGACCCTGAAACTTACATCTTCTCTGTACCTTCTGCCCCTAGGACCCCTTCCTCCCTCTGACTGGAGAGGGCAGAGGGTGGACAACAGTGAGCTCCTCCCAGATTCTCCACTAAAGGAAAGTGTCCAGGGAAGCAATCTCATAATTTCCTGCCTGGCTGAACTCCCAGGATTCATTAGAATCTCATTATCTTGCAAGTTTGTGTCAACCCTGACACGTATACCTCCTCAGTATCCTTTTCCTCCTCTTCTCTCCTTTTTAACTTCTTTTTATGCTTTATTTCCTCCATTAGATTGCGAGCTCCTTGAGGGAAGGGACTTTTCTTTGTATTTCCAGCACTTAGCACAGTGTCTGACACATGGTGGGCTCTTAATAAATGTTTATTGAGTGACTGACATGTGTAATTCACTTTGCAAACCCTAAAGGGATATATACATATATGTATATATATGTGTATATATGTGTGTGTATGTATGTATATACATATATACACACATACATATATATGTATATATATACACATATGTGTGTGTGTGTGTGTGTGTATATATGTGCCAGCTATTATTATTATTACATGAAGTAGATGGCAGAACCCCAGGATTTGAACCCAGAACCTCTGACTTCAAATCCAGTAGTTTTTTCACTACTACTCTTTCTGTGATCTGAGGGAACCAAAAGGGTTGTTAATGAGGATTGAATAGCTGTTATATATAAAGATCTTTGCAAACCATAAAGCACTCTCTAACTGTTACACCAGACAGTATAAGCTCTCTGTCACCACACACTATCCATCTGTCCACCATCTTGGACAGAAAGGTCCTGGGCATGGAGTTGGAACTGAGCAAAGGATCTGTCAAATGCACATTTACCCATTTGCCTCTTTCATCTTGCAAGCCTGTGTACCTTACCTTAGGCACAGATTCACAGTGGACCTCTTGGACTTCTCCTCAAGGTTTGTCTTAGATGATGCTCATTAGAATCTCCCAATGTATTCTTTTCCTGTGATGCCACGTCATGGTCCAAAGAGTCTGTGAGTTCTTGTTTCAGAATGTCAGAGAAATGTATGACATTAAAAAAAAAAAGATGAAAAGTCCTGTGTCAGGAGTGAGGGCTGGCTGATGGATAGGCCACATGTTTCAGAATTACCTATGAAATGTCAAGCTAATATAAGGAATGCCCTCAGTACATTGGGTGGAGCCCCCATACTAGATGGATGAGAGGGGGATCTGGGTGAGATCTGATTCTGCCATTAAATCACCCTGGACAAATCCCTTCTATCTGTGTCTCATTTTCATTGCTGGCACCACAAGACTTTGAACTAGAAATTCTTTAAGGGTCCTTCCAGTTCTGACATTCTCCATTTTAAAGTTCTTTCTGACTCTGGCATTCTCTGTTCTAAGGATCCTTCCAACTCTGATGTTCTACATTGGGCCTTCTGTGTTCTATGTACTGATGTCCTTTCCAGCTTTGATTCTGTTCCAAGGTTTCTTCCAGCTCTGACATATGTTCTAAGGTGTCTCCCAGCTCTAACGATACTTTTTTTTAAAGATGCCTCCAAGTTCTGACATTCTAAGACTCCTTACAGCTCTAACGTTCTACATTTTAAGGGCCCTTCTAGGTCTTCAATTATAGCACTCTATAGATCTTGCTACCTGTGTAATATTGGGCATGTCACATATTTCTGGTCCTCAGTTTCCTCATCTATCAAAGGAGAAGTTGGAAAGAATTGGAGGTTTTCAGCCTGGAGAACTGAACCAAGGATCTGTCAAACCCACTTTTACCCATTTGCCTTTTCTAGTTTGCAAGCCTGTGTTCCTTCTGTTGGGGGAGAGGGAGTTAAGGAGGCCATGTGATAGCTGTTTTAATGTATTTGAAGGTCTAATCTAACAGGTGGCTGAGAGATTTACATGTTCTTTTTGACTTCTTTTTATTTTGAAATAAAAGCCACAATGAGGCAAATTTTGGCTTAGTAGCAAGGTCGTTGCCTAACACTTTAACCTACAGGTGTGTTAACAGGTAAGATCCCAAAGCTTGGCTCTCATCTCCCTCTCAGGGCCTAGCTCTACCTCTGAGCTATAGTGATGTTCTTCTTCTAATGCTACTGGCTTAACTCTCCTCCTGGCATGTTGTCCCAATGTCCATTTGTCAGTGATGAGAGCCTCAATATCATCTAGCCAATGAACATCAATGATCTTTTTTATAAGAGGATATTTACTGAAAATATATGGCAAGAATCAGAGTACAAAAACATCCTCCCAATTACCTTGTTCCCTGGGAAGAGTGGGCTCCCACTTAACTGGCTGCTCCAAAGCATTTGAGCTCATTTCTGAAAGTGGCACAGATGATGAATAGTGTTGCTTCCTTGCTTATAGGACAAAGCATTTCAGCTTCCTGGCTGATTCACTGGAGGACTGGGTGAGGCAGATTGCTCCTCAAGGCTGCACTGGCTTACAGGACTCAGCTGCTGCCAAATTTTGGTATGGTTCTAGGACTTCTGGTGGCTCTTCTGACCTTTTTAGGCTCACAGGATTATTCTATGTTCAATACTCCTTCACTTAAACAGGAAAGAATGAACCATAACGGAGAAGGAAAAACAAAAAACACCATATATTCTAGGTTTCATGATGACTGAGTGGGAGAGGGGCTGAGACCCCTCCCCACCCCAAGAGCCATTGTAGTTCGTGCCTGTCTTGTCACCAGGGAAAAGGGAAACAAATTTCTCTCTTGAAGCCTTTTGTATGCACACTAAGCTCTGGCTCCACAAGCAATTAAAAGGCTTCTCATGGTCATAAAGTAAGTGGACAGGAAACAATTACAGAACACCTGTATAAGAAGTAGTGGGTAGGACTCACTATTATGTATGCCAAGATGCTGGCTCCTCCAGCAACTGCACGGGTTGGCATCAGGCAGAGCAGATTGTGCATAATCTGATGACTGGGCTCTCATTGGCCACTCCCCTATTACATAATAATTTCCTAACAATCTGAGCTATTCAAAAGTGGAGTGGGCTACCCGAGGAGGTAGTGAATTTCCACTCACTGTAGGTCCCTAAAAGAGGCTAAATGACCACTTGTCAGGTATGTTGGAGTGGAGAGTCTTTTGTGGGTCTGGGTTGGTCTAAGTGGTTTCTCAAGTCCCTTCCAGCTCTCAAATTCTGTGTTCTTTCCTCTCTAAACTAAGGAACTTTCCTCCTCCAAACCCTCTGATCCTACGAAAGCAGGAAGCTAGACTAGCAATTTGATAATCCTTTCAACCTAGATCTGGGCTGGATTTCTTGGAGGAGGCATGGAGGTATCTCTTCCTTGGTGTTCAGTCATTTCAGTGATGTCCAATGCTTCAAGACCCCATTTGGGGTTTTCTTGGCAAAGACACTACAGTGGTTTGCCATTTCCTTCCTGGTTCATTTTACAGGTGAGGAAACTGAGGCAAACAGGGTTAAGTGACTTGCCCAGGGTCACATGGCTAGTAGGTATCTGAAGCTGGATTTAAAATTCCTGATTCCAGGGCCAACACTTTGTCCACTGTGCCACCTAGCTGACCCTTCCTTAAACACAAACAATTAAGTTAGAGTCATCTGGTGCCTTTTTACCAAAAGACAATTGAACTACATCAGAGATATTCAAATTCTGGGCATAGGCTGAGGAGGGTCAGGGAAGAAATTCACCCCAGGAGGAAGCAAAGGGGGAAGCTGTGTATCACAAGGAAGACAGGGGCCACATAGTGAAAGCTCTAAACCACTGTGAGGAGTTTCAATGAGTAAGAAGGTAGGGAAGTTTAAGATAAGAGAGAAGGTCCAAAGGGTACCCACACTTTGCCACTGATTCATTGGGTAACTGGACAACTGTCTTCCCCTCTCTAAGTCTGTTTCTTCCTCTGTAAATAAGAGAATTTGACCAGAAGAACTCTAAAGTCTCCTTTAGCCTTAATTCCCATGACCCAAGGATTCTTCTGGCTCTACTAATTAGTGTGGACAGATTTGCCCACTCTGCTATCAGTGGAATTGGGATGGACCTGCCCTACTCTCTCCCTTAGACTCACCTGCCACTTTTACCTTCCCAGGCAAAAGGAACTAGAACCCTAAGAGATAAGAGGCAAGTGAACCAGAGACTACAATTTCCTCCCTTCCTTCCAGATTCAGCACATAATGAGGATGGAGTGAGCAAATCCCTTCACCTTTCTACATTTCCTTTTGTAGATCACAACACTAGCTACTTCACAGAGTTGTTTTGAGGAAAGTGCTTTATATAAACTTTAAAGTGCTACATATATATATATTTTCATGTGTAAGTGCATATAAATTTGTAAGTCTAAGACACAAATCTATAATATACTTTAATAGCAGTTCAAGCAAAGTGCTTTCAGAGGCTGAAGGAGGAAGGTCCTTCCTGGCAGGGGGAATCTAGGAAGGCTTGAATCTAGACTTCGTGGAGGTGGTATTTGAGTGGAACTTTAAAATACAGTTAGGATTCTTGTATAAATAAAACCTATGCAGCCAAGAATAGAAGGGATGCAGAAAATTGGGGGGAAAACCTTTCATAGAAAATCTCTCAGATGGAATGGGATTGGGCTAGAATACTGCTGTGGTGTGAGGAAGTGATGAGCTGGTTAATTTAGAAAACCATGGAAAGATTTGGTCTTATGAAAGAAGATGCTATCCACCTTCAGAAAAACTGATGACAAATAGAAATAAGCATAGTAGGTCTTACACATTGTATATGTGTATATATGTGTATGTTTATAGATATGTATTATATCTGTGTGTATGTATATGTGTGTTCCTGTCTGTCTATCTCTTCCTTAACTGTAGCCTTCTTTGGGGGGGGATGGGAAATAAAGTAAAAAGTGAACAGTGGAGAACAAAAGAAAACCTACAAGAAAGCAATGAAAAGCTGGACAGCTCTGAAAACAATTTGTAGTATTATATGAATGTAGTATTATATGAAATGGAAATTTATTGCTTCATATTGGATCTTTTCATGTTCTACTGTGTACATGGCAATGTTTTTTTTCTATTCTTATTTTTTTACTTAAGTTTAAAATAAATTTAAAGACTTAAAAAATAAAATACAGTTAGGAATTCAGCATGGTAAGAGGAGAGAAAGAAAGATCCCAAGATTATAGATTTGAAGCTGAAAGGTACCATAGAGCTCATCTAGTCCAAGCACCTCATTTTAGGAATGAGAGAACTTAGCTCCAGAGAAATGAAATTAATTGCCCCAGGTCATATGGGTAGGAAGTGGCAGAGCCAAGGTTCAAACCAAGGTCCTTTGACTCTAAATCCAGGCACTAGAAATAGGGAGAACCAGAAGTGGGAAAGTGGGGAGGGAGAGATTCAGAAGCTAGAGAGTAGCTCAGTTTAACTGGAACACAGAGTACCTGGAGGAGTTTTATAAGAGATCTTACTAGGACCTACTTTGCCTGTGCCCTTCCATTATGTTCTAAGAAGCCACCATCTAGGGCTACCTACAGTTCTACAAGTCTTGCCTTGCTCTAGATCATGTACCTTCCATGATCCTTCCTCCCCCTCTTCCAGCCACAGATAGCTTCCTGATGCCCTGGGACAACTCTACCCAAGGATGAACTCTTGTAGCCAATGATTAGCATTCTCCCATCCTGTCACGTGCCCCATATGCCACTGAGTCTAAACCCCTGGTTACCATTATTCAAAATCTGTTCTCCATTCTCCAACGATTGGTCCCTTACTCTTGTCCCACTCAACCCAAACTCCCACTCTAAAATTACCCAAACCTTACATTGTGCTTTCTTGAATGTTTGATCCATAGATAACAAATGATTTCATTTTAAACCTTTCCTATCATCCCTCCCTCCACCTTCTTAGACTCACTGAGACCTGGCTTCCTCCTGATGACACAGCTTCCCTAGCCACCCTTTCCAATATTAGTTACACTTTAATTCATACCCTCCAACTCACTGGTTGTGATGGGGGAGATGGATTACTCCTTGCTCCCCATTGCCCTTCCAGGATCTACCTCTACCACCATGACTCAGTAACCCCTCCTCCTTTGGGGTTCATTCTATCCATATCTATCACCCAACCAAGATTCTGGTAGTTTTTATCAACCATAAAGTGCTATATTAATTACTATCTACCAATCTCTAGGAGACTTCCCTTCTTTCCTAAATGAGTTCAGTGCCTGGTTTTCTGTCCTAACTCCTACCATCATATTAGGGGACTTCACCATACATATCATTATGCCCTCAAATGTCTAAACTTCCCAATGCCTCAACTTACTCATTTCTCACAACCTACATCTCCCCAGCTAAGCACAGAGATGGTTACTCCTTTGATCTTGCCATCATCCACAAGTGTTCCATATCCATGTTCATGAATTCTGAAATTCTTTTATCTGATCATGACTTGTCATTCCACCTTTCCTTCTGCTTTACAATTCCAAACCCTATTTTTCATCTTCACTTTAACCTCCAGTCCCTACACCCTTCATTTCTTTCCCAACCCCATGACCTGGCCAAACTCTCTTCTCTTCCCCATCCTGACCACTTGGTGGACTTCCTCTCTTGAGTACCTTGCCCTATTGACGATCTTGCCCTTCCAAGTCCCAGCCTTGGATTCCTCCCTCCATCCTCTCCTTTCACTCATATTCACATGTTGCTGAACAAAACAAGAGAAAACCACAAACCCAGCCCAACTGGGTCCACTCAAGTTTATGCTACACAGTCTCAACTGGGCCCTCATAATGGCAAATTTATACTTTCCTACCTGATTTACTATAACACTCACCACAGAGACTTTTCCAAATCTTTTTATCCCTCCTCAAACCTCCCACCCCACCTTCCCCACCCCTCTCACTGAGAACCTGGGCTCATATTTCACTTTCTAAAAGATGAGGCCATTCACAGAAAACCTCCTCTCTTTCCTCCTGTTCCTCAGCTCCCATCATTCATATGCTTTAAGCCGTTATTTCCTCCTTCACCCCTATTTCACTTGAAAAGGTATCCTTTCTCCTTGCCAAGGCAAATTCCTGCTTGTTGTTCCTCAAGTAATCCCATTCCATCCTGTTTCTCCAGCAGATTGCCCCTTTATCATCCCTACTCTCACTAATCTTCAATCTCTGCCTGTGTACTGGTTATTTCCCTGTTGCCTTCAAATATTATCCATGTTTCCCCCATTCTCAAAAGAAAATCACTTAATCCATCACTTGATACTGCTAACTTATCATCCTATACCTGTCCTCTTTGTAGCTAAACCCCTTGAGAAGGCTGCCCACAACTGCTGCCTTCACTTCCTTTCCTCTCTCTCTTCTTAACTCTGCCTTCTGGCTTCCAACCTCATCACTCAACTAAAACTGCCCTCTCCAAGGTTACTAATCTCATTTACTAACCTAATGGCCTTTTCTCAATCCTTATCCTTCTTGACCTCTCTGCATCCTTTGACACTACTGATCACCCACTACTTCTCGATATTCTATTCTCTCTTGTTTCATGACATCACTCTCTCTTGGTTCTCTTCTTACCTGTCTGACATCTCCTCATTTTCCTTTGCTAGATCTTCATCCACATCATGCCTGCTAACTGAGGGAATCCCCCAAGGCTCTGTTCCAGAATCTCTTCTCTTCTCTATCTATACATGGTGATGACATCAGATACCACAGTTTCAAGCATAATCTCTATGTATATGACTCTCAGATCTCCCAGTCTAGTCCTAAACTCTCTCTCAATTGCCAGTCTCAAATCTCCACCTGTGTTTTTAGGTATCTTGAGCTGAATGTGCCAGGTGCTTTAACCTCAACATGTCCAAAACTGAAATGATCTTTTCCTCACAAACTGTCTGTCCCCTCTTCCAACTTTCCTATTACTGTTGAAGGTACTATCACTCTCCCAGTCACCCAGACTGACAACTTAGAGTTCATCCTCAACTCCTCTCTCTCACTTCCCA